CAGGGATTGAACTCAGGACCTTGCGTCTTTCGAGGCAGGCAGGGAACCACTGAGCTAAAATCCCCGGCCCAGTTTAATTTTTCTTTTGAGATAGGATTGCCCAATTTGAGATCCTCCTTCTTCGTCCTCCCAGAGTGCTGGGATTACAATGACTGCCATCATTCTAGGCTTTGTCCTTTTATTTACTGAAGTGAAAACACTTAAGAGACTCTCCACCAAAGGGCAGTTTTTGCCCACTCCCTAACATTGGTAGTGTCTGGAGACATTTTAGATTATAACAGTGAGGTAAGTAAGGGTGGTAGAGTTTACTTTGGCTAATGCGTAAAGGCCAGAGATACTGCTAACCATCCATCACTGCACAGGAAAGCCGCCCGCAACAACAAATTGCCTAGCCTAAAATAGCAATAGTGTTAAAATTGAGAGAAATCCTGATTTAAGAATTAAACTGATTAGTTATACAGTGATACCTTGGTTATTGATCAGCTCCAAGCTCGAACTTCACACTACTCCAGCAGAAAAGTTCAAAAAAAATCTGATCTATGTTTGTAACTTTGCTCAATAGTCATCTGAAAATCTTACTTGAAAAACCCTGTAGGAGCCAAGTGAGCCATATGTTGTCCAGGACACAAAGAGAGGTGACTAAGTGCTGCTCTTGCTCAGACAACATATAGTGTTTGTGTTCGTGCATTAAAACGCTCATCATGATGCTTGTTTTGTTTTTTGTTTTTTGTGGGGGGTTTTGGCACTTTATTTGTGTAAAATACTGTAAGCCTGGTTCCAAAGAAAGTTAGTGATAACAGCAGTAAAACTAAAAGGAAGACTTCATTTTTCCTTGATTTAAAGAAAGAAATCATTGTGAAATTTGTTAAAGTCCTGGAAAAAATAAACTTATAAGTAGTTTTTGGGCCTCAGAATTAATTATTTGGTTTTTCATTGTTTCTTATGGGAAAAATGTTCAGTTCTTGAATTTTGCAGTGCTCGAACACCAATTGGATGAATCAAGTTCAATAACCAAGGTATCACTATTTACTTATGTATCTTTTTTTTTTAATAACAGACTATTAAGACCATAAATGTTTCTCATTTATGGACTAATGAACAGTTGGAAAATGTTTTTTTAGGATCTTGTGTTTAACCTATATGGATCTATAAAGAGGTTGAGATATGTGGGTTGTATGTTGTTCCTATCCCCTGCCTCAGCCTCCCAAGTGCTGGTATTGTAGATATACACCACCATACTGAGCCTGCATTTGACAATAATAATTGGGAAAAGTTTTGCATGGTGATTAATTTGTTAATTCACATAAGATTTAGGGAGGGGCCGGGGATTTAGCTCAGTGGTGCTGCTGTCTGCCCCGAAAGTACAAGGTCCCGAGTTCATCCTAGGTACCAAAAAAAAAAAATTGGGGGAGAATAAAGGAATTGGACCAGTCCTTGTGGCATTGATCTACCTGGAGCTCTTTGATAACACTTAAAAGCAGGAAATAGCCAGGCATGCCTGGTGTACACCTGTAATCCAAGCACTCAAAAGGCAGGAGGATTGCTTCAAATTCGAGGCCAACCTGGGCTACACTGTGAGTTCAAGGCCAGCCTGAACTCCATAGTGAGACCCTGTTTCAAAAAACAAAAACAGGGCTGGGGATTTAGTTCAGTGGTTCCGCCACCTGCCTTGAAAGGGCAAGGACCGGAGTTAGGTCCCCAGTACCAAAACAAAACCAAAAAAAGGGAACAGTGTTGAAATCGCAAACATATATGGGTCTAGGTATTGGAAGAACAAAGGACATGGAGGATTTAGATAGCCTTTTTTGTGTGTGGTTGGAATAAAATGAAGTGGGACAAACATTGGCATCCATTTTAACGATTTTGTAGTACTCATTTTGGTTTTTTTGAGACAAGGTCTAGCTCTGTAGTTCAGGCTAGCTTTGAACTCATTATGTAGCCCCAGCTGAACTCAGCTTGGGGAGATCTTCCTTCCTCAGTCTCCCAAATGGTGGGGTTACAGGCACCCAACTCTTAAGAGCTACTTTTAAATAGGCTTATATTGTGGCTGAGTAAATGGTGCTACTGTTAAGTTTAAGATCTTATAAAGGAATTTTATCCTTGAGACTTTACGATAGTGTTATTTGGGGAGGAGTGACAATCATAGAGAAAGGGGAGATATATGATCTGAAAGACATTTTACAGTTAACAGTGGTTTACTATTTCAGTCATGCTAATTTATTTTGAAATTTTAAATAATATTAGAGTATGAGACTTTTGTTCACCAAAAGAGTCAAGGAGTCAGAAGTCAAGAAACCCTTCCTGATCTACAAAGTTGATTTAAGCTGTATCAGAACAAAGGCCAAATTTGCAGGTTTTGCCCTTCTGGTGTAAGTCTACAGAACAAGCAGAAAAGGGTACCTTGCTCAGGTTCTTACTGTTCAACTTGACCTCATTAGTAGATTGACCATCGGTTCTGTTTTCTCCAAATGGTAGGACAGGTTAATAATTGGATATTAAGGGGCCGGGGATTTAGCTCAGTGGTTTCGCTGCCTGCTGCGCAGGCGCAAGGACCCGAGTTTGATCCCTGGTACCAAAAAAAACAAAACAAAAATAATTGGATATTAGCTGATACTAGATTAAGTAAGTCCCGTGAGGGTAAGAGCTCTGGCAAACATAATACTAATCCCAGACACTATTTTTTAATTAAAGGATGTAAAATGACTAAAGTAAGTCTATGGACTATAAGTATTCAACCTCTTGTTCACATTAGCTTTTTAAAATTTCTCTTAGATCTTTGCAATGACCTGGAGAAGAATCATTGCTATAGGACTCAACCTCTTGAGTAACTGCTTTCTTTCAAAGCTTTAGAGTAGATTCATAGCTAGAATAGAATGGCTGTCATCTGGTCGCTCATGATGCATACGGTACTCTTGGGAGCCAGATTAGTGTTAAGTCACTTGAGAGAAATACAGAAACTTCACATTAATGGACATCTTTTTTTCATATTATTGCAGCCAAGTTCATCTGATTTGCACGTTGAGACCATAATACTTCAGGTTCTTGTTATGTTCAGAATGCTGTAACATTCGTAGCAAACAGGTCACCTTTAATTTCCTGACAGTTGAATTTTAAAAGCAAGACATATACCAAGTGAGAGAACAACCTTCAGTTAAGCAAGTGGTGCATCAAGTTACAGGTACTTAGCTCTCTTGGGTTGAAAATTAGATGAGAATTGGAACATGGAAAAGGAAATCATGGTCACAAAGGTCATGAAGCTGATCTTTGTTACAACAGAGCTACTTTTTTCTTCATCAAGTAGTATTTGCACTTGGACTAGCTCTAGAACTTATTGAGTCCCTTCTGTTGTTCTTAATTAGTTGTTGATTTTGCCATCTTAGAAGTTCTGTGGCTAGAGAGCCAGGATCAGTCCACTAAAAGGAGTCATTTGGTGATTACTAAATATTCATAATCGTGGAAAACATTTAAATGTGTTGGTTGTTAAGAGTTTTCTTATATTTTCCTTGTAGTGTCATAGCTCAATATGAAGTGTTAAGGTAGAAAAGATAGGGCCAGGGACTCAGTGGTGCTGCGCCTACCTTGCAGCACAAGGTCCTGAGTTCAATCCCCAGTACCTAAAAAAAAAGGTAGAAAAGATAAATTTTTTCTACATAGAGAACAGAGATTTAAAATATATGAGTTTTAACTATTCAAACATTTTCAAATAACACCAAGTACAACACAGTATTTTGCCATGGTTATGATAACCTTTAAAAAAACTATTAAGCTTCTTCAAAGCTGGGATCCGTGTGATATAATGGGAAGAGCCCTTCATGTAATTATGGTTCTGCAATCTAATAACTAAAAGTCATTTAACCTGAGACTTTCCTCCTCTATATCAAACAGATCCCTCAGAACTACCATATGCTATTGAGATTGAGGGAGGAGGATGACAAGTTCAAGTCCAGCTTGAGCAACTTGCATGACCTTATCTCAAACTGCTTTTTTGGTTTTTTGAGAAAGGGTCTCTAGGGCCGGGGATTTAGCTCAGTGGTCCCGGCGCCTGCCTCGCAAGCACAAGGGTCCCAAGTTCAATCTCCGGTACCAAAAAAAAGAGAGAGAGAAAGGGTCTCGCTGTGTTTGTATCCCAGGCTGGCCTCGAACTCACAGTAGTCCTCCTGCCTCAGGCTTCTGAGTGCTGGGAGTACAGGCATGTGCTACCACACCCAGCACAAACTACATTTTTTAAAGGGGGACTGAGGTGCCCAGTGGTAAAATACTTGCTGAGCCTGCAAGACTCTGGTTTCAATTCCCAATACCACAAAAACATAAGGGCTAGGGGTGTAACTCATTGCTCCCTAAATTTATCCCTGATGCTGCCCCCCCACCCCAGAGTACCATACAAAATGTTATGTAGGTTAGGAACTTTGTCGTGTATTTTTGTATCCAAAAAGCAGTGGATTGAGTGACTTGTTGGAGCTGGGCGTGTAGCTCAGAAATGGAGCACTTGGTCTGGCATGTGCAAGACCCTGAGTTTGATCCTCAACGCACATACACACACACAGTCTCAAATGGTAAATCAGCCGGGGATTTAGCTCAGTGCTGCTAACACCTGTCTCACAGGCACAAGGTCCTGAGTTCAATCCCCAGTACAAAAAAAGAAATGAATCAAATGGTAAATCAGTGAATAGAGTGGAAAGTAAAAGGTTGCTTCCACCTCAGTCATACTCCCAGAGAGGAAGGAATATCAGACATCCTTCCCCTTTCCATACTTAAATCTGGTTATATTTAATATGTATCTTGCAACTTTTAAATTACCATTGAATTTTTTTTCTGGACCGAATACTATTTTTTTGGTATTGGAGATCGAACTCGGGACCTTGCGCTTGAGAGGCAGGCACCAGAACCACTGAGCTAAATCCCCAGCCCTCTTTCTTTATAAATGTATTTAGCATATTGCATTATACAATTCTGTAAATACTTCACTGTTTATGAATAATCTCTTTTCTTTTTTAAAATAGCAAAAAAGAAGAATAAGAAGGGGAAGACTATCTCCCTAACAGACTTTCTGGCTGAGGATGGAGGGACTGGTGGAGGAACCACCTATGTCCCCAAACCAGTAAGCTGGGCTGATGAAACAGATGACCTGGAAGGAGATGGTAATTTTTCTTTTTTTGTCATGCTTGGAATATCATTATTTCCTATACAAAACCTATTCCATAATTCACATCATTGTAATGTGAAAGAATCTTTCTTTGTAGAACCTAAAATCACATATTTATGTATAGGGTCTTGAGTTTCAGGGTTTCATCTCTGGGTTAAGCTATCAGACTTTGTAATGGGAACAGAAATAAACATTGAAGAGAGCTCTGTGCTAGGCTTTTTTTTTTGGACAGGATCTCGCTGTAGTTTAAGCCAGCCTTGAATTCACTGTGTAGCCTAGACTGGCCTTGAATTTATGGTAATCCTCCCACCTCAGCCTCCCAAGTGCTAGGATTGCAGGTGTGCATTGCCATGCCTGGCCCTACGCCTAGCTCTTGAGTTAACAGACTTTTCTCAGGTTACTGTCCTTTTAGGCCTGTTTTCTTCATTTGAAAAGTAAGGACTAGATTGCCCTTGTTTTCTTTTGGTACCAGGAATCAAACTCAGGGCCTTAGATTGCCTGTTTTGTTTTGTTTTGTTTTTTGGTACCGGGGATCGAACTCAGGACCTTGCGCTTGTGAGGCAGGCAGCAGAACCACTGAGCTAAATCCCCAGCCAAAGACTGACTTTTAAAATCACTTTTAGGTCGGGCCAGGGATTACACGGAAGGATTATAGTGCATCCTTTGCACAAGCTCAGTGCCTGCAGTGAGTTATCTGGAATAGATAAGCATTTTTTTCTCTTCTTTCTCTTCATCCTCCTCTTTCTCTTCTCCTCTTCTTTTTTTTCCCAGTGCTGTAGATTGGATCCAGGGCATTGTGCATGCTAGGCAAGCACTCTGCCACTGGGCTTCACCCCCAGCTCTCACCATTGCTTTGCCAATTAGTACGAATATGAGTTGTTAGTAGTGGTTAAACAACATCTAGAGTGACAGACCCAGGTTTAAATCCTGGCTCTACTACTTTATCACTCGAAACCTTGGGCAAATTACTGTCTTAAAACAGTTTTGTAGAATGAGAAACAACCTCACGGGATTGTTAAAATGGTGAGGTTGGACAAAGTATAAAGTACTTGGGACATATAAATAGTTGATTCTCCTTCACATAGGAATAAAAGGTAATGTGATTCTGTTAACATGGCCTTTGAGATAGAAAAACAGAGACCAGAACACTGAGCACTGTTTGTTTTTTGTTTTTTTGAGACAGGGTCTCAGTATGTAGTTCAGGCTGTTCTTGAACTTACTATGTAGCCCAGGTTTGACTCAAACTACAGCAGTCCTTTTGCCTCAGCTTCCTGAGTGGTGGGACTCCAGGCATGCACCACCACACCTGGCTCCAGTTCTTTTATTTTGAGACAGGGTTCTCACTGAGTCACTAAGTTTCTGAGGCTGGGCTCAGACTTGTTATTCTCCTGCCTCCACCTCACACAGTGCTGGGATTACACATGTGTGCCTCACCACCTGCTGCAGGTTTTTATTTGATTTTTTTGGTTTTGGTTTTGGTTTTGGCTTTTTTGCACTACTGGAGATTGAACCCAGGGCTTTGTGCATGCTAGGCCAATGCTCTACCACTGAGCCACATCCCCAGCTTCCAGTATTTTTAGTATCTAGCAATTGGCATGGATCAATCCTCTTGTTCTGTGACAGTAAGGGAGATTTTCTTTGATTTCTTCTATTGGTTCTTCTATCCTAGTTTCAACCACTTGGCACAGTAATGACGACGATGTGTATAGGGCACCTCCAATTGACCGATCCATCCTTCCCACTGCTCCACGGGCTGCTCGGGAACCCAATATCGACCGGAGCCGTCTACCCAAATCTCCACCCTACACTGCTTTCCTAGGAAACCTGCCCTATGATGTAACGGAAGACTCTATTAAGGAATTCTTTAGAGGATTAAATGTAAGTATAATCATATGAGGCCATTAACTAGATATGTTGAGGTTAGTGGCTAAAATAAAACCAATTGTGGAATGAGCAGTTCTTAATTGAATAAAAATTAGAAACATTTTTAAAAGGACAGAAATCTAGGGTTAGCAGCAATGTGCTGAATTCATGGTTGGTTTGTTTTGTTTTTAAGAGTTAAATGCAAATAGATGAAAATTCAAAGGTGTAACAGGGCATAAAATCTCTTTTATCCCTCTGTGGTATTCTTCCTGGAGACATGCAAGTTCAGAGTATTCAAAGATTTTTTCTATGTACATTGGTGATTGTGTGGTCCTCCCAAAAAAGGGCTTTCAACTCTTTATCTTTACTCCTTCAGATCAGTGCAGTGCGCTTGCCACGTGAACCTAGCAATCCAGAGAGGTTGAAAGGTTTTGGTTATGCTGAGTTTGAGGACCTGGATTCCCTGCTCAGTGCCCTCAGTCTC